GGTTGTTTGGATGTGGGTCATGACCAGTCTTTTGAAGCATTTAGCGACTATCGGGGTGAGGGCTACTGGCCGATAGTCATTCAGACCAGTCACTGTAGGGCTCTTTGGGACTGGGATGATGGTAGCGGTCTTCAGGCAGGTGGGAACTGTTGCCAGGGAGAGGGAGGAGTTAAAGATGTTGGCCAGTACTTCATAGAGCTGACTGGCACAGTCTTTCAACACCTTCCCCAGGATGTTGTCTGGGCCAGTGGCTTTGTGATGATTAATCCTCCTGAAGGTACTCCTTACTTCAGCTGAGGTCACGCTTAGGGCTGAGTACCGAACTTCGGTTCTTTTATGGTATTGACCGAACTGCTTCGATCAGTATATGTATCAAAAGATGCCTGTCTTTCTGTGTCAAGTTTCAGTGATTGGCTGTAACCTTACACATGGTTTCAACCACATGGTTTCAACCACGTGTAACGTTACAGCCAATGTCAGTGCAGCAACTTGCAGCCACCAAGAAAAACCAGGAAAAACACTTACGTGGTTACACCCACAGGTGAGATTTACATGGGGATATGGCAAGCCTTAATAGCCATTAATAGCCACAAATAGCCACTTGTGGCTTGCCACAATATCTGTGTTGTGAACTAGTTGCATCTGTCGGCAACACGACTAATTTGATGAAGCGCCTGACCGTGCATGGAATCAATTTAAAAGCGGAAAGTTGCTCTGTGTTTGACTGCAAGGAGAGAGGACCACAGCCATCCTTCTCTCAACATTTAAGTCAGCCTGTGGGTGTTACAGAGTCTGAAAATTTCCACAACCGGACTCTGCTTCACATCGAAGACGGCGCTGTGCCTGGGATTTCAGCTGGTAAGTTTACATTTGTTAACGTTACTGCAATTTAATACATGCATCATATTGCTGTCCTTCATGCACAGGAGTGCAGAGGATCCCACACTGCAGCTAGGAATCTGGAACAAGCCTCCACAAGTGAGACAGCATCGCAGGTGACTAATGTTAATAAATAAAATTTAACACTTTTCATTTAATATAAGTTAAAGTGCTATGCATATCATATGGCGGTTAAGGAATATATGTCACCAGCTCTTACAGCTGTTGCACAATTTTTGTAGCAAATAAGCCTAAATAAGAGGAATATGTTCTGACAATGGAACGTATATAATCAATCAACCTTTATTTATACAGGTAAATCCCATTGAGCCTCGAGGACTCATTTACAAGAGAGACCTGATTTCAACAAAGAAAGATGACAACAATGGACAACAGCAACAACAATAAACAGTTATAAAAAAGCATACTATAAAACATTGGTATCAGTATTGGTTATCGGCTGAATAAGTTTTAACATACAGTATCAGCATATCAGATATCGGCCAAAAATCCAATATTGTGCATCCCTACTCAAAACCCATCTGTTCAGGTTAGCCTTCTTGCTCTATTTTCTTAGTACTGGTAATTTCTGCTAGTTTTTACATTATAGTCTGTGCTTTAATTGTAATTTTTGACTGCAATTTATTTAATTTTGTAAAGTGTCCTATGGTGTCCTGGAAGTCATAAAAAAATAAAATGTATATTCGTTATTATTATCATTATTATTGAGCTCTGCATTCTCTCCTGACAGTGAAGTAGCCAATGAGAGAAAAGAAAAGAAAAAAACAAACTTTCAAACATGTTTCTACCTGGAGACACAAACTTGAAATTTTAGTCTTTGAACATCCATCCAACCATTTTCTTTACCCGTTTATTCCATTTTGGGTCACGGGGGTCGCTGGTGCCCATGTCCAGCAATCACTGTGCGAGGGGCGGGGTACACCCTGGACGGGTCGCAAGTCCATCACAGGGTCACATAGAGACAAACGAGACAAACAACCATTCACTCTCTCACTCACACCTAGGGACAATTTAGAGTTACCAATCAGTCTAACATGCATGTTTTTGGTCTGTGGGAGGAAACCAGAGTACCCGGAGAAAACCCACGCATGCACGGAGAGAACATGCAAACTCCACCCAGAAAGGCCCCTGGACCGGGGTTTGAACCAAGGACCTGCTCGCTGAGAGGCAGCAGCTCTACCAGTTGTGCCACCGTGCTGCCAGTCTTTGAACAACATAAAAAAAAAAAAAATGGTTGTGCAATGGAAAAGTAGTTTACAGAAAATAAGAAAAAAACTGAAAAAAAATAAATAAACAGAACTACAGTGAAAATATTGTACAAATGTATGTTAAATAAATATAATTTTAAATTTAACAAATCATACATACTGACCAGGCAGCACAGTGGTGCAACTGGTAGAGCTGCTGCCTCTCAGCGAGCAGGTCCTTGGTTCAAACCCCGGTCCAGGGGCCCTCTGGGTGGAGTTTGCATGTTCTCTCCATGCATGCGTGGGTTTTCTCCGGGTGCTTCTGTTTCCTCCCACAGACCAAAAACATGCATGTTAGGCTGATTGGTAACTCTAAATTGTCCCTAGGTGTGAGTGAGAGAGTGAATGGTTGTTTGTCTCGTTTGTCTCTATGTGTCCCTGTGATGGACTTGCGACCCGTCCAGGGTGTACCCCGCCCCTCGCACAGTGATTGCTGGACATGGGCATCAGCGACCCCCGTGACCCAAAATGGAAGAAGCAGATAAAAGATAATGGATGGATGGATGGGTCATGTACTGGGAAAGTTGGAGGCTGGAGAGTCCACACACCTGTTTTTGACTCAATGGAGTCACTTCAGTTCCTCTTTTGTGAACTGAGCATTAAATACTTTCAAATATCAAACCATTATTCACAAATAAAAGCCAAGCATTACTTAAATCATCCTGCTGACCTAGGGTCAAAATGCCTCCTCAAAAGGCCTCAGGTCATTTTGACCCTAGGGCAGCAGGAGGGCTAAAATAAAGTACCTCATGTCAGGGCAGTTTTAAACCAGGATTGTTTTAGGTTAAGAAATACCAGAATGGTCAAACCTCAACAAATGTGTGGTCTCAGGCAATATAAAGATCTTGTGCAGTCTGCATGTGAACACAGAAAGTCTGTGTTCACATCATATTCTAGCTCATCATCTATAAAACGGAACAAGTTATAGCTGGATATTTGTTGTAAAATTGAGTTAAAGCCAGTTGCCTGTAGGGCTCATGTTGAAGCAAATTAATTCTGAAGATTTTTTTATCGCTCAGACTTCTTCCCGTTTATTGAACAGCAGAAAATAGTTCCTGTGTACTTCCAACCAGCATATTGGAGTTCTGATGAACGATTTTCATCTTAAAGAAGGAAGTCAAAGACGCTTTTTCATTCTATAAATCGTATTTTTATTGTGTTGTCGACACAAAGACGAATACACTGTTGGGTGTCAGCCGCGGACCACCAGCGTAAAGTAGACACGACTGTGAAATGATTTGTGAAAACAACAATTATAGTCTATGGCTTACAGAGAACGACACTGAACCTATTTACAAACTCGAATCAACTCATTGACAGTTTGAAAATCGGAGCACAAAGCTTTTTCTCTTCATAAATATAAAAAGGGAGGGCAAGGAAACACACAAAAAAAGGCCAACTATGGGCCTAGATGTGAATAAAGTCTCTTTCACCGAGACAGCTTAACACTCAAAAGAGTTATACATATCCCATTTTCTGTTATGGCACCGGTATCGAAGCATGCCGTGGACTCGCTGGTATCCCATCGCAGACGCTTCGCCTCAAGCAGGTTTAACAGAGCTGGTAGGCACTGACCCAACGAGTTGAATAGAATAAACACTAAACGAATAAAAGAAACTAAAAATCAGAGATCGATCTTGGACTGTCACATGAGGTATTGTGGATCAACGCATCTCTGTACATTGTCTTAATTTTTCCTCTCCTTTTTTTTGGAACAGTTTGGAAATTCATTACATAAGCACAAAAAAACTGATCACATAAAATCTACACAAAACAAAATGAGGATGTCAATAACACAATTTTCTATGAGAAAATCCAAACCTAAAATGGCAGTATATTGACATTTATATGTATATATAATAAAAAAAAAAAACATAGCAGCAAACAGAAAAAAAGCATTGTTTGAATTCTTTTTTTTTTCATCTTTTGTGTTTTTCTTTTTTTAAACACATAGCTGGAATTTACATTCTATAGCAGCGGAATACAAGGAGTGTTTCTCTCCTACGTTCTATCCTTAATGTACAATCAGAAACCTAGTTTAAAAGAGCTCCTACGGTTCGACACCCTCACAAATAAAACGTACTTTAAACGTGACGCCAACTTTCTCCACCTTGCGTAGGAGCCCTTACCTAAAACACACATACTAGTGGGTCTTCACCCTCTTTGTATTCACTTTTTACCCCTTGGTTATTGTTGCCAGCTTTACTCGCCACCTTGTTTCAGGGAAGTCCCCAAGAAATGCAGCCCACGTCTTTCAGGTTTGTGCAAAATCTTGTCAATAGTCTTATCATTCCTCTTTTTTTCTTAGCTTCATCTGTGTCCCAGAATCCGTGAGCGGTATTTAAGCTGAGGTTGGTTATCGGCAGGGAGGTGGGATGAGAGGTGGGGGGGTGATCTCCTGGTGATTTAGAAGCACACTAGAGATTTCATTTCCCTGTGTTTCTTGACCGCAGGGCTGCTCTGGAGCAAGATAAGCTCATTGTTTTGAGTTAAACATCAGTAGCTGGAGCCCCGATCTGTTCGGGTATAAACATATACCCCCCCCCCCCCCCCAAAAAAAATATGAAAATAAAAGCATTATTTAAATTGTAAAAATAATACTACTTCTTTATTTCATCTGTGGCGTTTTCAGCCTTCGGCTCTTTGAGCTGATGTTTAACTGAACCTGTGACGGTGGTGGAAACACCAGAGCAGCTCTGTCTGTCCAGCTACAACGCACTCACTCCTCAGTCTGGTTACTTTGTCCCATCGCATTAATCTGATCCGGGTGCAGCTGTATCCACACACTCTACATCTCCATCACTGGAAGACTCCAGCTCAAACTCCCTGTTCTCTTTTTTTCATGTTCCTTTACAACCTAATGCTTTTTTTTTTTTGCTTTTTTTTTTTAGTCGAGCCAGCGTTGCTGACTAAAAGTGCTTATTCTTTTGTATAAAAACAAATTCATTGGAATGATATTAGATCTAACTACACAGAGAAATAAAATACAGACTGGACTGTTTTGCTCACATATACGTTGATTTGATGTTATCAAGTTACAGCAAGCAGGAATGAGTAAAATTCATGTTGTCAAGGAATGAACAAACATTTTCGTTTGTCCAAATTAGCAGCCCATATTCTCTAAGATCATAAAAAACAGAGCACTCAGTACACTGGCTTAAAAAAAAAAAAAAAAGAAGCTTGGAACAGAAGAGGTATAAGACTAAATGATGTCGTAAAATAAAGTGACTAAACATAAGCAAGCCGGGGATAAATGAATGTTTGCACTACAAGACAAACATGGGAACTTGGCAGAAAGTCTAAGTCATTCTAGATACAAGACAAAAGAAATCAAAAGGAAGGACCTGAAGGCAGACTAAGAGAACCCACTGCACATTACACTTTGGGATGTTTTAGTAGGCATGTCAAGTCTGTGGCAATTTAAAAATTCCTAGTTTAATATGTGAGGGAATGAGAAAAATATCTACTAAAATATCTGCTTCTGTGGCTTCAGCTCCAGCCCTCGCAGGCCGTCCACGTTCAGTCTTGTCTCATTTCTGTAGTGTTCAGTTGATTTCCCAAGGAGGAAGGGGACACTGGCAGGAAATGTGACATGGGGTGTTTAGCGTGGCAGGCAGGGCTGCTACGTCTTGTCTTGGCAGCTGCAATGGACAGCGGGCATGTGAGAGACATTATCGGCCATGACAGCAGCCCACCGGGAGGCAGGAGGACAGAAGAGGGGATGCAGAGTTGAGATGAAGCAACCCCTCCTCGCCCCTCCAGTCAGCTCCCTCTGAGGACAACTTCCTCTTTACCATCAGGTTTATCGGGCGACGCGCCTGCGGATCATCTTCAAATGTTGACGTCTCTCACATCTGTAGGCGTGCAGGACAGGTCCACCTCCTCGTCCACGTGTTTGGTTTCCGTTGTACCACTGTGCAGCTGAGCCTGCCGCAGGCTGGACTCCAGCAGGGACTCGATCTGCTCCTGACATGACCGTAAGCAGTCCTGCATGTGGACAGGACAACAATGAGTCAAAACCACTGCTGCGCTCAACATGTGACATGTATCCGTTTTTTTGGGGGTGTGTGTGCGTGTGGCTTCATACCGGGTCACTGCGAATGACCTGTGACAAGAAGTTGGTAAGGTTCTGGGAGGACAGGGAGGCATCTTGGTTCTTCAGGTAAAGACCTTGAACAGCAGCCACCACACTGCCTGCCGCCACCATGGACGGAGGACTGGCAATGAAGTTGACATCTATTAAAAAGAGACAACACATTTAATGCCACAGAATTTATACAATCGCATAAAGGCAATAAATATTAGCATTACTCAACATCAGTCTTACTTATCCGATATCAACAGGGTGCATCAATTAAAAGTTAGCAATGATGTCATACCTGTAGCACAGAGTGCCACGAAGGTCTGAGCGTGTTTTCTGAGGGTCTGTTTTGTGGATGGGTGGATATTCAGCTTGGACAGGAAGTGCTCGATGAAGTCGTGTGGAGTGACTGAAGCCAGATCCCACTTCAGCTTGCTGAGAACCAGAAGCTCCATTTGCTGTAGACGGACCAGACCAGACCAGTCAGTCAAACTTACTCGGAGAAAAACACTCATCCTGATGTTAAGAAGTCTTTACAGTTTTAATCCTGGCATTTTACGATTTTTAGTTAATGTGCAGCTCGTTCGTTAGCATTAGTTTCCATCACTTAGTTTGCGCATAATTTTCTAATTTTAATTACTTTCGTAATTCTCTTAAGCTAATTCCATGTTTAGTTTTTTTTTATTATCTTACATTATCCGTTGAGTTAGTCTGTTTAAAACTGATGATGTCACTTAAAAGTCCCTCATTCTCTGAGAGAAGTAAAACAGCTGGCCAAAAAAAAAAGAAGAAAATCTGGCAACACATCCTTAAGAAAGCGCATTGTTCCGTCTTCGTCCACTGCCTGCACCCCTGCTCCATGGCCACTAGGTGTCACTGTGAACCATGAGCTTCTAGAAAAGTCAGTGGGACCATTCATGAAATCAGAGAGGCCTTCCAGTCACCATGGGAAAGTCACAGCCAGCCATTCAACACTGCTGCATGTTGACTTTGTTTCTTTCATAAAATCTATCCAATTTACTTCAATATCTTCTCACCACCGTGTCAACGACCAAACAGGTGACCTGCTCTTCTTCTGGTTACGTGTCCACCCCTTAACTTTCCCTAAATGAATGCTGACCGCAGTAATGTAAGTGTTATTATGTAACATCCGTATCTACAGCACTCATTTACCAGAAGTTCTCCGGGCAGGACCGAATTGTCCGTGTAGATGCAGAGTTTCTCTGCCGTTAAGGGCACGGTCTCCTTCATCTTGGATGCTAGAAACATGCACGCAGCCCCGAGCAGCTGTAGCGTCGCTTTCCTGGTGGCCTCCACCGATAGAAATCTGTCCAAATAGTTCATAGCCAGCGGAAAAACCTCCTCCTCGCACTTCTGTTCCTCGCAGACCTGGGAGGTGAAAAGAGCACGTTTGAGGTTACTGCTGCTTTGCAGAAGGACCCCCCCCCACCACCACCACCATCCTCATGAATGTCTTTGCCCCCACCGACTGTCCAGCGCACAGCTGTTTGCATTCAACAGCTGCTCATACCACACTGATTACAAATGACAAAAATATATACATAAATAATAAAAAAAATAAGAAATACACCCTTTATAATTTGATTACATTAAAGTTTGGCGTTTATTTATGAGGTAGGATGTTCAAAAGAAACAAGTGGATGTTGAAACAGATAAAAGTGTGTTAATAAACTTGATCTTTATTAGGGATTATTGAACAGAGGTGTTCCAGCAGAGGAAACGGTCGGGACATAGTTTGCAGTCAGTTCTGACGGAGACACAAAGGTGGCGTAGACGCAAGTTTCACTCTCTAATTTCAACTTCGTCATCTTTTCAAAAAATATTTATAAATACTTAAAAATTACCAGGCAGCGTGCAACCACCACCTAAATGACCCTGATCGAACGCCTGATCGGATGGGAGTGAAAAGAGTCGGGTTGTCGTCCAAATTCGATTTTTCTAGAAATTATTTCTCCCACGAGGCTCCCTTCACGTGCTGCGTGCGACACTTCCCCGCCAGAGCGCCCAGTGCTCCCACTTCAAAAATTATTTAAAAATATACAGCGGCGCATCATTCACGCCGAAACACGTTGTAAATGTGTGAAAACGTGTAAGCTACCGAAGCCGACCGCGGAAAGTCGCGTTTCGCCGCGAAACGTTCATTTAAAATGCCGTTTTTGCCTCTGCGACCTTCACCGACAGAGGCGACTCTCGGGAAGCAAAACAAACTTTACCAGTTCGTACCAGTTGACCAGAGGCTAGCTGACACGATGTGAGGCTTTGGTGCTTTAGAAGCATTTCTGGGAGATTCAACCGCTCCACTGTCATTGACGTTCCAGTTATAGATTTTTAATGATATTAAAATCTTCCCTTACGCACAGGAACAAAGATGGCGCGTAATATGGTTCTGGCACGGGCCGGACTGCATACGTGTACATTGCTGTTATTTTGAAGGAAATCAAGCTAATCTGAACACCTTCTACAGCTTTTAGTGAATATATACTGAGGCTAAATGAACGACAATGTAGCCTGTTCGTGGAAGTGACTTGTTTGGGGACAGTATGGAAGGACCACCCAGCACTCGTCATGATACGAGTACAAAAAGAGCTTAAATAGCGTCATTAACATCTTATAACTTTAACATTGCGGCTAATTTGTTTATGTTCAGGACTTTAGAGGCGAGAGCAAGCTAGCAAGGGGATTCGCTCGCTCGTTCAGAAGTTGAAGTTAAACTAACCTCTAACATCCATGTAGCTAGTATTTTCCTCATTTTGGGCGCAATGTCTTTCTGGACACATTTAAAGTAGTTGGGCGACGGCAGGTAGTTCTCCTCTGCCTTCAGCATGGTCTGCAGAACCCGGTCGTTGAGCAGGTTGACGTCCTGGTAGGCTCTCCGGATCGAGTCCACCTCGCAGCACAGCAGCTGGTCCTCCATAATACTTCGGATGTGACTATGACGCGCAGCCAGCGACACTGAATAAATATTGTGCTGCTTAAAGAGGAAAAAAAAAAAAAACTTTCCTCGGTTAGAGCAGGAAGAAAGCACGAGGCAAAAGTCGGCTCCTTCCTCCTCCACGGGCTGCTGTCGCTGCTGCTGCTGCTCCTTCGGTGTGCGCGAGCCCTCTGAGCAACCCGCCGCTTCCCTCTGCTGAACAAAAACCCTGCTCCGAGCGCGCACGCACCAACTTCTGTCGCTGGGAACAACGGGGAAAGGGAGGGGGACGGAGGACGTGCGTGATGACGTCAGCTGTTGTTAAGGGGGAGAGGGCGGGGGGATCAAAGAGATGTGCGGTCTGCTAGGGAGCGCGCGAGGAAGGACTGTTATATACATATATATGTATAAACCCAAGGAAGGGGAGAGGGGGTAGGGGTGCGGGGGAGACCTCCCTTTTGCGGGCCCCTGTTTCTCCTCCTGGTAGCGCTCGAGGAGGAGGTGGGAGGTCCGAGTCTGAGTAGCGTCTGTCGGCTGACCTGCGCAGGTTAGCGTCTCTTTGTCGGTAGGGGGCGATAATAGCCCTCCTCCTCCCCCCTGTTCCCCCGGCTCGTCGGGACTGAATGAAAGCAGGAGCTCTTTGAGCAAACATGAGGTGAGCACATGGGAGAACAGAGAAACACTGCTTTATTCATTCATTTTATTTACTCCCATTAACACGGAACAGGACAGGAGAGAGTGCGTTGAGTCATGCTACATCCATAACATTTGGAGGCCATTTTTAAAATTCACAGTGCCTTTTAATAACACTATTATTTCTTTTAGTGTGGGAAACTTTGCATTGAGTGCAGACAAATACCAGCCCCAGAACGTTTTTTATTTTTTAACTTCATAGAGACATCAACAAATTAAAAACCTGAATGACTTGAATTCCTGGATTACAGACGAACACATTTCCATAAAGAAACACCGGGTCGTTCTGACTGGAGCGCCACGTTTAGTTGAATTCACCCAGAATCAGTCCAGCTTATCAACGAAGGCGGTTTCTTATAGAGAAGTGTTTGAGTCCAAAAGGTGAAGTTTTGAAGAATGTTCCTCGTTGAGTACAGACACAGGGCGCACACAAACAGGAGGAGGTTGTGGTTGCACCAATGGGAGGAATTGCTGTTACTAGGCAGACTGTAACTTCATGTGGGGAAAAGTTCATTGCACTGCAAAAAAAACCAACTGACATAGTCATTGATTACATTATCAAAATCTTTTGAAGTTGATTCCCAAATAAAGAGCGCCGTGTTTTCCTGTGAACAACTTTATGCTCCTTCATTCATATTTAGACCTTTTCACAGCCAAGAGAAGGAACAATCGAGTGGAAGCTGGAGGAGCCGTAAAGTCCCACATTTAGAGAAAACATCACGAGAGCTTGGCTCTGCATGTAGATGCTCATGTTAAATCCTAAAAGTGTAAACTTCGCATTCAATCTAGTTTCAATATGAATCAGAGCTTTACACATTCCAGGAATTCCTCTTTGGGCTATTGGGTTAACTACCGTAATGCATGGAGAGTTGAGCCTGCAGTCACAGAAGACGTTTGTTTGTTGTTGTTTGTTTGTTGTTATAAGGGACTAAAAAACAATCCTGCACTGCAAAATAGATACACATCTTGCACATGCATTTAAATTCCCAGATTTATCTCAAAGCATCTACTTATAATTTCATCATTTCTTACATTTTGCAACACAATTCAACAATTCCCTGCAAGATCAATAACGTTCTATCTTATCTTTATCTTAAAATCTTTTTTTTTAAGATTCATGTTTAGCCCCGTTTAAAATATTCCAAGTGATCTTACATGTAATTTTGTAAACCTTATCAATGCAATTATTGATTCATAACTTAATGTCAACTCCTCTTAAATAATTAGAGCACTCTGATTTAGCCAAACAAACATCTACACCATCATTTCTCTAATAATGTATTCAGTCTTTTAGCACACAGATAGTTTAGTCATTATGTGTAGGTGTGGTAGCTATTTGGGAAAAAATTTATCTGGCTTCTTAAATTTATTAAACATCTTTTTTTATATGTACATTTTCATATTCTGATGGAAAACACAATGCAAAGTTTTTTTTTTCCTTTAGGCCTAAACAGAAAATCTCTAACAGTTGTACTGATCTCCATTCGTCCTCATGCACAGAGCGATAGAGGCTTTCTGTGGGAAACAAAGGGAGCTGGAGCATGTGACTTTTGCAGTGAGACTCTTCTAGCAGCTTTATGGTAGCAGCAGAGAGATGTTTAAAGGGAAAGCAGGGAGCTGACATCAAACCGGCAGACTGCTGATCAGATCACACAATCTTTCTAACTCACAGCTGGAAAATAACTATCAAAGCTGCAGATTTACATTTGCTTGCAAGCCTATGTGAAGTTCTCTCAAGTTAACACATTTTACCCATGCATCTTTTTCTCCTTCTCATTAATTATAAAGTCATTAAAAGTCATTTTCGGTTCTTAAGCGATTTATTTGGTTAAAAAATAATAATAATAAAGTTTTTTATTTCTTCACATATCCTGATTTTTTTTTTCCAGGTCTTCCTTGTAAATGAGTCCCCAAGGCTCAATGGGATTAACCTGTATAAATAAAGGTTGACTGAATGAATGATGCATGCTCAGTAATCCAGGTAGAAAAATCTAACAAAAGTTAAGTCAGGCCCTCTGGACTGGTTAAAAAAAATAAAATTATAAAGTAATTAAAAGAAAAATAATATTAAGTAAGTAAGTAAGTTGGGCAGCACGGTGACGCAACTGGTAGAGCTGCTGCCTCTCAGCGAGCAGGTCCCTGGTTCAAACCCCGGTCCAGAGGCCTTTCTGGGTGGAGTTTGCATGTTCTCTCCGTGCATGCGTGGGTTTTCTCCGGGTACTCCGGTTTCCTCCCACAGACCAAAAACATGCATGTTAGGCTGATTGGTAACTCTAAATTGTCCCTAGGTGTGAGTGAGAGAGTGAATGGTTGTTTGTCTCGTTTGTCTCTATGTGTTCCTGTGATGGACTTGCGACCCGTCCAGGGTGTACCCCGCCCCTCGCACAGTGACTGCTGGACATGAGCACCCGCGACCCCCGTGACCCAAAATGGAATAAGCGGGTAAAGATAATGGATGGATGGATGAAGTAAGTAAGTTATGCCCCTTTTCCATAGGGACGGCTCGGAACAGTTCGACTCGGCTCAGCTCGGTCCATGTTGATTTTCCATGTGCACTTCAGTACCGCTTCTAGTGGGTGGGGTCCAGAATCCAACGCATCTTACCTGCTGGTGGCAGTAGTGCTCCATTAAGCTATTTACAAGCTACCACTAAACTATTAGAAGAAGAAGACCCTGAAAAGATACACAACAAAAATGGAAGATCTCGTAGCTTTGTTGGACATTCTGCTCAGTCTGTGACTTTTTGTCAAACGTCAAAGAGAAGAGACCCAGAAAAGTCTGCAGGCAGTGAGGCAACAGGCTCTGGAGAAGCACAGGAGAGTGTTGGAAGCCATAAAGACGCGAGTTATACGACATGTGAGGGTAAGCTTAGCTAATGCTAAACTGCTATAGGGAGCCGAGCGTAGAAGTAAGTTCCAGTAAATGTCGATTAAATACGGTTTAGTAATACATGTTGTGTGTGCAAGGGCATCAGAAGCATCCGTAATGTGGGGGGGGACACAATGATGTGTGTAGGTGTGTGTGTGCGCGTGCGTGTGTAAAAAAACTGTACACTAGTGTACAAAAAAGCAACATTTCACCTAGATTTCCTTTAATTCCACACATTTAAAACATGTTTCTCACCAAGTTTGTGTAAATTCATCTGTGAGTTTTAAAGACATTTTAACTTTAATACACTTCAACACAGAGCGTCAGATCTGCACTATTTGTCTTTATAGAGAAATAAAAATCATCACCACTGGACTTTTTAACTTGTGTTCAACACTGCTCATCTAAATGATGTTTGTCATGAAGCTTGAGGACAATAAGGTGTGGGGTTTTAAAGACATTTCAACTTTAATGTACCTGAACACACAGAGTCTCTTACACCTGCAGCGTCTTACAGCGTCACCTTACTGCTAAGCACTCCTCTTCTCTCAAGCATCCTCCTAATCATGAATATGTTTATGATCAACACCCCCCTGGTCAACAACTGCCCGCACTAAGCTCGCTAAACTGGCAAGCGAGCAACACAGAGGTGTCTCCACCTCCTCCACCTGTGCACGTTTTCTGCCGAGGCAGGAGGAGACGTAGAGGAGAAACACTGCAGGCAGCTGCTGTGTTTAGAGTTGGAGGTAACCAGGAAAACCTGGAGTGGAGTTTTAGTGGCCTGAGTATTCTCCTATTAATCAAGTGGAATGGATTTGTTCATGAAGAAAGAGAAACTGCACAGCCTGAACTAATGTTTCATAGTAAAAGTGTGTGTGTGTGTGTGTGCGTGGGGGGGGGGTCCAAATTAACATTTTTTTTAATATGGGGGGGACATGTCCCCTTCACATATAATGGTTGCGATGCCTATGTGTGTGTGTGTGTTTCAGATGATTCTCCAGCAAAATAACTGCAGCAGACCTACAGTCTGTTTATGTCCAGCTCTGGAGCAACAGTGTGCCATTAAAGATGAAAGAGGCTGTTACCTTCCATCGATGTAGGTTGACGATAAAGATGTATTAAAAATATCTTGACTTTTGTTATGACACTTTATTTTTGTTATTTACCAAACACGATGGATAGATGGATGGATGGATGGAATTATAATAATAAAAATGGCCCGAAGAGTTAAAATAAGTCATTTAAATTTGATGTTTTCAGGCAGAGTTAGCTCTCTTTTAAAGACTGACAACTTGTTTTGTTTTGTGAATAGAAAAAAATAAACAGTATTTTATGCAGTTAAATAAGGTGGTTGATTTTTCCCTATGGGTTTCCCTAATGGTCATAAATTTAGCGGACAATAAAAGGGTTAAACTGCAAGCTTCAGAATTTGTCCAGATAAAACATGTCATGTCAGATTATTACTGTCACACCCACGGATTGGATAAAATCTGGATTTAGCTCATAATCATGACTTGAAACAGGTTTCATATACAGGGTGCAAATTTATTTTGAAGTTTCTGGTAAATTAAAAAGAATACACATTATAAAAATGATCAAATTGAACAATATATAAATCCTGTTAATGAACTTTTAATGAACTTTAGTTCATTAAGTCTCTGATGAACCAGATTCTTTGTACAAAAACATCTATATTT